TATATATATGTACATTTGTACAGAACATATGTATAGTGGGCACAATATGCACATTTTAAGTATGCATTAAATACCCAAGTGACTACTTGTGCCAAAATTCACTCAAAATGCAAAGAACAACAACAAAGCTTTTACCCTGCATCTGTGCGTCTGCCGACGGCTCCCGCGTGACGTAACATATGTAAAACTCTGCTGCTTTGTGCATGTATTTATACAGCAGACTGACCGGGAGACACATGTCTGCATTATTCAGAATCAGCGGCAGAACGTCACACACTGAAGACATGAGAGCAGAAAACCAGATGAACAACAAATACAGGATTCTCACACTTTGCTCAAGGAAAAAGCATATAAAACAATAAAGAGATGATGCATTTGTACCAAACAGCTTCCTGAAGCAGTTGACAGGCGTGTCCAGATTCTCTACAGACTCCGCCTCTAATAACGACTCTCCTAAACTCACCTGAGAGAGAGGTCAAGGGGTCAGAGGTCAAGCTGGGTTTAAAACAATCATCTCTCAAATGTGACAGTCTTCAAGGCAAGTTTAGGTTTCAAGTTTATTGATGTAGATTTCATACAATATATTAAATATTTCATATGCGTTTCATAGAATGCTAATTTAAAGTGCTTTATATAAAAATACATCATAATCATATAATCATAACATGCATGAGAAACTAATAATAAACAGACATGCTGAAAAACTGAAATGCATCTTTTAGGAATCACACAGCGACTCACTGAATCAGAATCAAATCTAACGCTGAGCTGATAAAGATTCATTTTATACTGCATTATTTTATGTGAGATATTTGTGATTATTTGTTTTATTTTTATTTCAGGTTGCCTTTTTAAGAATAGAATAGAATAGAATTGAATAAAATATAATAAAATAAAATAATAAAATATGATAAAATAATAAAATATGATAAAATAGTATAAAATAATAAAAGTGTGTGAGAGATGACTCGACTTACTCCATGCTGAACGACAGACTCCGGGAATCTCTTGAGCAGCAGCAGCAGCATCTCTGCTTTCTCCAGTGTGTTGAAACACTGCTCTGTGGCCTTCAGGAGCATCTTACACTGAACCGGACCTGGAAGAGTCTCAAAAACACCTGCACACACACACACA